TAAAACAAAATATTAAATGACTAAATCAACTTTTTAAGTATCATATCAATAACTTTACGACCATGCATGACCGTTGTCTAGATCGTCTTCATATTTTTGATCAGATTTGATTCAATTGAAGCATGAATTCTTGTCACATGTTTGAACATTAAAATTTTTATGTGGATCAGTTAAGAAAATAAAATAAAGTACCATGCAAATATTTAGTAGGATTAGTAGTTATGGAAAACATTACAATTCAAAATATATTTAAGGAAAAAACCAAATCTTAGTAAAAAAGACTTTTCCGTTTAAAATTTGAATTAGTAATAATAACTATCTACTTCCTTATCAACGAAATCGTTTTAATGATTTTTTCTGGTTTCTTTGTTAAAATTCATCCACAAGTGAATGATTAACTTTGATATGCCATGTTTATTTAAATGTTTTTTATGTCTTTAGCATTAGAGAAAAAACACATTTTTTGTATGTCTAACCATTGCTATTATTATTTTTAATAGATATATTAAAAGAGAGAGAGATATTTGTATTACAAAATCTTTGTGCCTAGAATTATACACTTGGAACTTTGATGTTCTCATTTTTTACATCAAAATATTATTTAATTACTCAAAATTGAGATGGTCGAAGAATTCATACCAAAATAAAAAAACCAATAAAAACAAAATTTTTATAAAAAGCGCAAGCCGTCTTGGAGAATCTAACTGCTATCCGGTTATGGAACCACTAAAGTTACTTTTCATTTAATATATAGTGAGATGAGAATATGATATTTTAAATATAAAAATACTCTAATCATGTATAAAAATGATAACTCAACTATAATATCACATTGTCAATTACAATGATTGAAACTTTTTAAAATTATATATTTGATTATTTGCATTCATTTGACATATTTTTATAATAGATGTATATAGTGAGTAAATATTATTAGTTTTTTTGTAATCTATTATTTGTTGTATACACTATAAATATAATATTTTTAAAACCATTTATAAAATTTTTTATGTAGTATCAAATGTATTTATTATATATTATAAATTTATATAACGTAATCTATGATAATCAATTGTTTTAACAAAAAAAAATGTTAATTTATTTAAATTTAAAATGTTTGATTGTTATTTGGTAACATATATTATATTAGGTAATTTTATGATTAGTTTCCTTTTAAAAACTTGATTTAAATAAATAAAATTTTAAATACCAACAACCAATTAATTTAAGAGAATTAATTTTAAACTTCATATATGAGTGACAATTAAGCAAAAATCACTAAAGTGACTTCTCGTTTAATATATAGTGGGATAGATCACTTGAAATTAATTAACATAAGGGAAAACATACGGTATAACCTAAATAATCCCTTGAACTATTACAACCCAGATTAATAATCAAACGCTACGATTATATAGCATATCGATCTTTTTTTCGAACAACATTTTATTAAGTAACTAAACTGTATATGGGTAATACAAGAACTGAAACAACCATGAAGGAGGACTGAGAAAAAAAAACAACATTGATAGGATTACTAAAATCATGCTGAGCCAATACATCTTCTGCATATCGATCTTTTATGTAAAAACATAACGTAATAACTAAAATCATCAAAACAAGATTATTACGATAAATATAATCTTATTAGAATATGAAGAGAGTGTTATACTGTTGATTAATGTGTTGGTTAAATGTGTAAACCAGTTTGTTATGTAAACCGGTATGAGAGAACTAGAAATACGTGTATTGTACATTCAGTTTGAATAACAAGAAATACAGAGTTCATTTTGGAATCTATAACAAATTTTCTTCTTCGATTCTTCTTGATTCATCTTCTAATATGGTATCAGAGTCCATTGTTTGGCCCACCATTATGATTTCCCACATAAACAGTTTCATGTCTATGTAGTTTGTAAAAATGGCCTATATGCTGTGGTATTTCCGAGATGTTGGGCTTGGGCTGTTTCCCTATGGACCGTTTCCCACCCACATCTCGAGAGGGGCTATTAATATATCCCACATCGGTGGTGATATTGGTCCTTGTGCAATATATATGTGTATGGGCAATCCTCCACTCTTGAGCTAGCTTTTGGGTGTGAGTTAGGCCCATCACTAATATGGTATCAGAGCCAGGTTAAGGCTTGTTCTATTCAGCATCATCTTCTTTACGACTTACAGCTTATTCTGATGCAGACTAGGCAGCTTGTCCTGACTCTAGACAATCAGTGACGGGTTACTGTGTTTTTTTTGGTGATTCTCTCATTTCTTGGCGGTCGAAGAAGCAACCTACCATATCACGCAGCAGCTCTGAAGCAGAGTATAGAGCGATGGCAGATGCAACGTGTGAATTAATATGGTTGACTGCTCTGCTCACTGAGATGCATTGTCCTCCTCCACCACCTGCAACTCTCTTCTGTGATAATCAATGTGCCTTATATATTGCTTCTAATCATGTTTATCATGAAAGGACTAAGCATGTGGAGATTGATTGTCATGTTGTTAGAGAACGTTTACAGAGTGGATTCTTGAAGACACTTCATGTGAAGTCTGCTCTTCAGCTTGCTGACATTCTAACCAAGGCGATTCAACCTGCAGTTTTCAAGACTATTATCGGCAAGATTGGTATCCATAGTCTATGTCTTCCATCTTGAGGGGAGGGTATTAGAGTATGAAGAGAGTGTTATACCGTTGATTAATGTGTTGGTTAAATGTGTAAACCGGTTTGTTATGTAAACCGGTATGAGAGAACTATAAATACGTGTATTGTACATTCAGTTTGAATAACAAGAAATACAGAGTTCATTTTGGAATCTGTAACAAACTTTCTTCTTCGATTCTTCTTGATTCATCTTCTAATAAATCTGTTAAATATATTTTGATTTTTTTTTATCACAATTAAGTATGTTTTGTTTTATTTTGGCAATTAAATATGTTTTGCTAATACTGATCTTACGCATAAATTAATTGTATTACGATAAGACATCGATGAATAATCATGCATTGCTCCCTCCTGGTTTGTTACTTGCTTCTCCCTCCTTTGTTTTCTTCCTTGCTTGTTCCTTTGCTTCATCTCTCTTTGCTTTTCTATTTGCCCTTCTTTCTCTTTCCCTTGCTATCTTCCTTTCAGCTGCAGCAGTAAAAGCCAATTGCATTTGTTTCAACGCCTTTTCTGAATCATTCAAAGCTTCATCCGCTTTTTCCTTGACGACCATTGGAATAAATTGAGGGAAAATGGGGCCAGAAAATGTGTTGAGCCACTGTGTCGCTTTCGTGGTGTTTGCATCCACAAGTTCAAGGATGGAGGTGGTCATGGCTAGGAATATATCGTCGCCCAAACCCGACTCCATGGCATGATAGTAAGCAGCAGCGATTGTCCTCTCATTACTTAACGCAGTGTAGAAGTTAGATTTTATCTCGGCAATCTCGGCGTCCATCTTGAGAGAGAATAGGAAAACAAAACTAAGAGATTTAGGTTTTCTTAAAAAAACATTGTAGTAATCTGAAAAAGTTAGAGAGAACTGTTATGATGCATGAGGTTTCAGGACACATGTATATATATGCACACGCAACAAATATCTTTAAGCAAATCTGTAGTCATTAAACTGCTTTATTCAATCATTAACTAGCCTGTTCATTTTTTTTCAAAAAAGTAGACTCATCACCGTGTATTGTAAAGCAACGAAATAACCGCGTGGATCATCTGTTTAGGGCATAAAACAAGTTACGTACGTGAATAGATAATTGCGGTTTAGGGAAGGTGAAAGTTGAAAACAAATATCATTGATCCGAAATAGCTCGTTGTAATATTTATCGTAAAGAAAATATTGCTCGCTCGTATTAACTACTTGGTCGACTAAGACTATATAAATTGGTTGAGATTTTTCAACATCCTATTATTCATTTTTACCATTCCACATCATCATCTCTCACTTCCACATAATCATTTAAAATTTAATTATTTTTATTTACAATAATAATAATTTTTTTTAAAAAAAACCATCAATTTATCTATATATTTTTATTTATAGTTATATATATTTTAAATTTATGATTATATCATTTTTTAGGTTTTATATTTCAAAACAATATTTTAAAATATAAACAAAAATTATTAGAAAATAATATATATTATAATTATATGAAAAAATATTTCTATGCCCAAATCCAACAAAACAAGTTTCATTATTTTTTCCCCACCCTTGTTGGAGCCATTCAACAGTTTAATAAATTATTCAACACCCTTGTTGTATATGGTCTAATATATATTTAACAATTTTACATAAATAACTTAGGCCATGTTGTTACTTGCATGTTACATTTGGCTGGTATCATGGTATCCTAAGAGAACATAATACGTATCTATGTTATCACATCTTTTCAAACATATTTCATTGGATCCTAATAGTAGTAGTTTTTTTTTTTGTAAAGAGGCTTCCTAATAGTAGTAGTTGATAGTTAAACTTTAATTATCAAGTGAATACTTCTTATATGTATTAAGTGAATACTGATGTAAATTGTTACCAGAATTGCACGACGTCTCTGTCATGCTTAACTTCGGTTGGTATGTAATGGGAATGTATATATAAAGAATTCAATTCTGATGACTAACATTTAAGAAGTCGCATGAACACACAAGATGATAATGAGAATAAATCAACCAAATTTTATGAATATTTGGTGGTCATGTAGGAGGAACATAAATTTGTGAAGAGTTTAGACAACGACAAGGCCGCATATAGTAATCAAAAACTCTTTTTCAATCTACCAAACAAAACAAAATGAAACACATAGGGATGAGTCCATCCCAATAAAGGATCTTCTAGGTGAGGCCAGAAAGTACTCAAAGCTCCTTCCCCTTCTTCCACACCCTTTCTGCGGGTACTGTCTGTTGGGATTGGAGTCACATCCTCTGCGTTTGGAAACAAGAACAACAATGTTATAGATTTGTTTCATTCAAAGACGTAGTCAAAACAATTCCAGATGAATATTTGGTATTTTTACCAATGCATGCGACCAATCTTCATGCCAGAATGGGCAAGGGCTCTGAGTGCAGACTGAGCACCAGGGCCAGGGGTCTTGGTCTTGTTACCACCAGTGGCACGGAGCTTCACATGCATCGCAGTGATTCCAAGTTCCTGTAAAACACACAAAATCAATTACTTTTACACTATTAAAGACTGCCAGCTCAGTAATGCATATTATCTTAGCCTCTTAGAGCAGGTGCAACGGGAGCACTTAACAAATCCTTAGCTGCAAATCCTAGGTAAATCAAATTAAAAGAAAATCAATAATACACCATTTATCAAGGAGCAGTCCTTAATTAGGGAATAGAAGGATTGAATCCTTATCTACGTGGCACTTCTTCTCTCTCCCTCGTCCCTGAGACATCAACGAGTTTCGCGTTTTCTCCCAAAGAACCAACCCAACTCTCTCTCTCACGGCTAACGGCTGAGGCTGTGATGGTGACGTCAGATCCGTTGGGGATGTTTGAGATATTGATTGTTGGCCAGATTCAGGTAGTGGCGGTGTTGATTTAGGGTTTTCAATAGACGGCAGCGTGGGAAGATTGATAGATTTAGACGGCGGAAGTTGTTGGAGCTAGGATTCTTCAGTAGTGTTTAGCTTTGTTGGTGGAGTTTTGGATTTTCTTGACAGTATAGGTGATTGAGATTCACGAGACTGTGACAATGATGGTGGTAGTATAGAAGTTTGCGAAGGAGGCTATGGTTTGAACCGAGTTTCAACAATGGATTTAGACAGTGGTGGCGGCTGTGTGATTTTAACTCAGTCTTGAACAAGATTATTAGCTTTGATATTAGTCTTGGAGTTGATTCTAACTCCAGTTAGTATAGTGTTTGCCATTGTGGTTAGTATAGTTTCAATCAGAATCTGATTCAAATAGTACACTTGTGAAGTAAGTTTTGAGCTTTGATTCTTATAGATTTACAAGGATTCTTTGTTTGATGAGAAGCTCATAAGGGTTCTTTATTGATCTGGTTAGGGATTCAGTTTGTAGCTCCCATCTATGTTGTTATGTAACATTGAACAAAGAGTATACTTTTTTAGGTTTTGATTTCTACTTTGTTTAGTTTCTTGTCTGAGAAACTGTTTTTAGAATATGGATGTTTGATTTATGCCATTGTTATCTGAAATGTATAGTTTTTAATTTATGTTTGCGCAGCATTCTTATTGAGCTTGAGCTCGTGATGAAAGAGTATAGTTTTGTGGGGAGGAACAAGGAGGAAGCTCTTTTGGCTATGGAGTTTTGTGGGAAATCTCTTGTGGAAGTGCTTGAGAACAGCGGTGCTGGTTACTTTGAAGAGAAACAAGTTCTTTTGATTTTCAGAGATGTGTGTAATGCTGTCTTTGCAATGCATTCTCTATCCCCACGCATTGCTCACTGGTGGGTTCATTAGATTTCTTTTGTTTTTTGTTTTTTTTTTCATCAGCCAGATATATTACTATATTAGTTACTGTTATTGTCTCAGAGATTTAAAGGCTGAAAATCTTCTATTGAGCACAGATGGACTGTGAAGAAGACAATATTAGGAAACACACAACACCAGCAATGCATTTGGTGATCTTTGGCATCCTGAATGTTTATGTTGCCTTCATTGTCATAAACCAATTGCTGTGGACGAGGTTTGCAGGTAATTAACCCAAACTATAACCTGTAAATCTTGCATGTTTTGAGTGTTTATCATCCTAGTGATGTTTTAAATTTACATGTTTTACAATTTTCATTAATACCTAAGGATTCCATAATAGATAACACCATTGTAGCAATATTTGTTATTAGGATCCTTAACTATTCCAAAAAAAAACAAACTATTAATCTAATCCTAAGGACTCCAATGGTGGATAACACCATTGGAGATGCTCTTAGGTTCATCTACCTTGCAACGCTGAGCGACATCTTGAGCAGCATAAGGTGAGGACTCATCTCTGTCAGCTTTCACCTTCATCCCACCTACACAAGTTAATCCAGCAATTTAGAAGCCAATTGTGTATTCAAGAACAATGCAATTTCCATAAAGATGTAAAGAATTCAAAAGTTAGAAGCCACTAAAGACACCCATTGGTATGGAACTTTATATATCACACTAGTGCACCTAAACCCTGATCTATTTAGCTTAGATGTCATATATGACCGCAAAAGCAATTTTCTAGTGAATTCATCAACTAAAAACAAATCATCTCACACTCGCTAGAGAAATCAAGGACCATGGCATAATGAAACAAGCAATTATAGGTATTAGATAGATAAATCTACTAGAGAGATGGTTTACCAGTGATACGAACACGTGTTTCCCGTCCAGACAAATCAGTTACATGCTGTAGAAAACGCAGATATACAGAATTCAGCAATGACGGTCAGGAATAAAATATGAGAGAAAAGAAATGAAGGGTGGGTGACTGACGATGAAAGTGTCGTTGAAAGAAGCAAAGATGTGAACAACACCAAAGACTTGCTCTCCGTCACGAACAGCTGGTCCAAGTGTCACTGTCTACTCCTTTGGCTCTCTTGTCTTTCTCCTCGACTACAACATATGTAACTAAACTGTCCAGGGTTCTTGTATTATATCATGAATCAAATAACTAAACTTTCAGCTTCTTTCTGATGGACCATGGATATGGGATGTTGAAGACTACTCTATATAATTTGATTTAATATTTCAATCAATTTTAATTGTATTAATTTCAAAAACAAGTATTTTATAAAATTATTAACTCTAAAAAAGTTAAGGCTTGGAATATTGTTGAAAATTTTGAACAGTTTCCCAAATTTTATTAGTCTAGGGCCAAAGTAACTATAATATTTTCAGACTCAGAGAATCTCAATCGTTTCATGATGTTTAAAGCTGCAAGCGACAAGCCAATGAAATATTGTACTGTACATGTGCATGCATGTTGTTAAAATGGAAAGAAAGAGTTACATATACTTGGGAATGTAAAGAATGTTTTGGTATAAAATTAGTTTAGCAAAATTTGTGATAATAGTTGTTTTTGACCAGAAATAAGTGTGTTTGTGCATGCATGTTGTTAAACTGGAAAGAAAGAAATTAATACAAATCAAGTGCGGGTCAAAATCTAGTTAACTTTATTACGATGAGAGATCGATGAATAATCCCTCCTGGGTTGTTACTTGCTTATCCCTCCCTTCCTCTCTTCCTTTCAGTTGCAGCAGTAACAGCCACTTGCATTATTTCCAACGCTTTTTCTGATTCCTTCAAAGCTTTATCCGCATATTCCTCGGCAATTGGAAGAAATTGAAGGAGATCGGGACCAAAAGAATTTGTCAAGCCATCTCTAACATGTGACGATTTCATGGTGCTTCTCTCCACAAGTCCAGGGATCCGAGTGGTCATTGCTAGGAACCCACTGTCTTCCAAACCCGAATTAATGGCATGCTTCTCAGCAGCAACGACTTTGGCCACATTACTTTTCGCAGTGTAGACCTTGGATTTAATCTCGGCAACCTTGGCATCCATCTTGAGCGAGAATAGGAAAAAGAACTAAAGAGACTTGGGATTTTTCTAAAAACTTTTTAGTAATCTGAAAAAGGTGAAGTAGAGAACTGTTATGATGCATAAGGGTCCAGGACACACCTAAATATATGTACATATTCAACAAAATATCTTTAAACAAATTGGTTGGCCATTTGCGGTTTAGATAATTGGGTACGTGAATAGATTGCGGTTTAGATAATTACGTACGTGAATAGATAATTTCGGTTTAGGCAAGGTGAAAGTTGAAATATATATGCAATATGTCTCGTTGTAATATTCTCGTAAAGCCCTTTCTCAAAAAAAAAAAAAAAATATACATATATTCTAGTAAAGAACAATGCTTGTTTCGAGATATATTCTCGTAAAGAACAATGCTTGTTTGTATACTCGTATTATCCCTACTTGGTCGACTAATATATTTCACAATTTTACATAAATGACTTAGCCCATGTTGCTACGTGCATGTTAACTTTGGCTGGTATCATGGTATCCTAAAAGAACATTATACGTATATATATTATCACGTCTTTTCAAACATATTTTATAAATATTGATTAGGTAATATTAGCAATGCATTGATCGATTACCGTGTCCCACCAGATAAAGTGAGTGATAAAGGATTCTAGTGGTCAAGAGATTAAAGATTTTACATCCAGGTTTGGGGTTTGAACTCCAGACTATGCAATTTCTAGGTTTTAATTCTTAAAGAATGTGAATTATGCAAAAAAAAACTGAAAAATATTTTTTTAAAAGATCTTCAACATGGCGCGATAAGTACCGTAAAGAATGGATCTCATAAGACAACTGATGCGCCTTTGGGTAGAGCAGCAGGCAAAACAGACATACATGATTCGATCATGGGAAGTAGTAAAGATATATGTTCATTGTTTGACTCATATCTTCCAAACCACGAGGCTTCTACGCATGAAATCACTTGGATAATGTGATCAACTCAATTACAGAGCTTCTCGAAGAAGAATCAGATCAAACGGAGTTCAGATGTGGGAGTTATGCTATTTACAAATTAGGTGATCTCCAGCTCTCGCGAATTCAGACATTTGCACATTCAACTGTGGACCGCACTTACATATCTGAGCTGGAAGCGCTAAGTGAGCTAAATAACACTCATTTGGAACTGAGTGAGCTAAGTGACACTAAATATGGAGTTGGATTAGTTACTGGGCGAAATGAGCTTTTTTCAATTTGGGTCGATTTTACACCAAATTCGATCAAGCCTTTGCTGATGGTCTCCTGCCCAGTTGCATCAAGAAATATCAACAAAAGAAGTCAGAGATGTGGTCAGGCAAAGGGTCATTCACAAACACACTTATTTCTGGTCAAAAATCTTAGTCTTTGTTTGTATTTTCTAAGTTTCTAGTTTTCCACAAAACCTCTTAGTATCATTTGACCACATTGTACTATAAATAAGGCCTAAAAGCCACGAAATTAATCATATTATTTTCTCCTTTTTATGAGTTTGTCTTTCTTTGTTCTTTGTAGAACATTTCTTAATTTCTTGGTGAGGTTATCTCCAAGTTTCGATCCTTCTTTTGTTGGACCGGTGCGTCACATCCGGCAACGATCACAGTCTGGTAGTATCATTGGGCCATCCGTAACCTTTTGTGTCACTGTTCAATCCACCAGTTCTCTCTTTTGGCGAGTTCATACCCCTTTAGTCCGTTTGAGTGATCCTTCCCCGATTTAGGGAGTATCAGCAGCTCAGGGTGATGCATTCAGACGTGAATCCACATAAAACATGTAGAATTGTCGGTTATGATCTCGTCTATGTAATGTTTCTCATAATTTGTAATAGCATAAGTAACCAGACAAAAAAAAACATTGTTGAATGGATTTTTGAGAGAAAACCCTAGCCGTCACAAGAGAGAGAAAAAAAGAGTTTTTTTTTTCGAGTTTCAAGCCAATGGCTGGAGGCTTCTATAGCTCCGACATCAGCTTGTTTAATCCGTTTTATTTTTATCTCTTTGATTTGCTTTCTTTCTGGTTATTTGATTTGTTTGTTTGCCAATTTATTTTGAATCTGGTAAAGTTTTGAATTGTTCCTTTGTATGATTTTCTAATGGATTTGAAAAACAAAAACTTCGGTTCAATTGAATCGTTTAGAAAAGGTAATTGACAGATCTACTGCGGATGGTGGCAACGGGTCTTACCGGCTTCAATCGTTGATGGTTCTTTATTTGATGGTGATGGAGTTCTTGTTATAAACTATGGTTACTTCGAAACTCAGCAAAAAATTATATGGAATGGTAATCTCTTTAACTATGTTATTATCAGAGAAATATAAAGAGTTATTTTCTCTCATTGGCTCATAGTAATAAAAAGAGAGTAGCAATCGTTCTCAACTAAGTATGAAGCGTGGTGTTTCTGGATTAAGACGAATATTATCTTTTTTGGGATTCAACTATTTTAAAATCAAATTTGGAATTTTTACATGAAAATATATAGTTATCCATACACAAAGATATGTTAGTTTACTTTGGATCCCTACTGGTGTATCCATTTTCTATGTTTGTTTTGCTAATTTTCATTGTTAAGAACTTTTCACCTAAATGACTTATAATAAAACCAGCTTTAATTAAAAAAAAATTGATTAGGTTTAATTTAATTATTGCACTGAATCAAAGCATTCGTAAGCCAAGCATGTATATATATTATAAGATTAACTTTTATAATTTCTATTATGAAATTTACCCAAAATCATAATATAGATTTAATAATCATATTAAACTCAAGTCATATAGTGTTTAACCTTTGGGTATAACTACTATCAACTATTATAAAAAATTACTAATCATTTTCATATTAAATCATTTTCATATTATTAATTATAATCAGTGATCTACATTTGGGTGATTTTCTAAAATATATAAAATAAAATAATTGATTACTACATTTTTTAATGTCATTGACTTTGAAGCTTCCGTAGAAACTTAATCTATTATATTAAAACATAAATCATGATTCATTTTATGTGTGACTTTTTAGTTTGGGGCATCTTTAGAAGACTTATAAAATCTTATATAACATGAATTTATAATATATTTTCATATTTTAAATTTTTATTTGAAATCCAACTAAATATTTTTAAGAAAATTCTAACAAAATATTTTAGAATGTTTTCAAGATATATTTCGGAAAATTATTTGATTAAAATTTTAATTATAATAAAATATAATAAAATATTTAATTCATTTTTGATTTAAAATAAAATAAATTTATGTAAAATACTTTTTATACTATCCCAAAAATGTGTTTATGTTTTATGTATGTCCAACTTAATTTACTTTTTACAAATATTTCAAAGTTAGAAATAAAACAAAATATACAAATTAGTAATGTTACAAAATAATATTTTTAAAAATGTTACAAAAATATCTATTATATTAAAACAGAAGTCATGACTCATTTCATATGTGATTTTTTAGTTTGGATCATCT